ACTTGATTGCCTGTGTTAAAAATCTAAAACTTGCACAGATTAAAGTTTTAGATTTCCAGGTGCAGATCTACTTATTACATTTCAGAACTAAAAGATATGCTTGCTGACAAAATCCTTGACCAGAAAATAAAAAGAACATACTTGCACCCTGCTGCTTTCACTAACCAGGAGAGAACCAACCTTTTAAAAAAACCCCACAAAAACAGAATGTCCACTTAATGCCTATTCTCTTCCTGTTTAATTCGTATAACATCTTACCATGAACACAGGATAAAGTCATCTGAGACGACAATGTCATTGGACATTGCTTCTCAGATATCAGAACTAACTTGGTGAATTTCAAATCTCTAAGAAATTTCATTTCTAAAGAAAAATCTAAACCCACTATGCATTTCTTATTTTAAATCTACAATACTGAATGCAATTTCCTAGCAAAGCACCTCCTCCAAGTTAAATAAAATGTGTGCCTATGAAAAGTGTGGTTCCTATAACTAACATACTACAGTTGATATTTAACAGCAAAGCAATGTTCTACATAGTTTAACTGGAAAGTTTTTGATACTTAAAATATGAATACTTCACCACAAAAGCCTTCAAAATGATTCACATCTAATAAAATATTTGTCATTAATAATTTTTTAAAGATACAAAATCCAACGCTACTCAAAAAGCCAATATTAACATTGTTTCACTATTACTATGTTAATACTGTTCAGACTTTATTTATGAAAACTGAAAGCTCTGTGTATTTTCAAAGTATTTCTGAGTGCCTTAGAATTGTCAGGCTTCTAAGGAGGTCCTGGAAATACCGTGTGGTCATGACAAATGATTCATCTTTCAAAGCCCATCTGCCCCCCTCCACCTTTCCATCCTGCCCCTCTCCTCTCTGGCAAGGTAATACAAGTTACAGTTCCTGGATATGAAAACACAATATTCCACAAACCCAAAAAGGTAGAAAAATTACAACTCTATAGAACAATTTTACATTAGACAAAAATTAAATGAACAGGACATAAGCATAAAAAGCACACTATCCTGAAAACAATACTGTACTGAAAAACCACTACTCAACAACAACAACACAAAAAGATGATTATTGGCCAATGATCACAGCAAAAAAAAAGGAGTTTATCAGACATTCTCTCAGGTTTATACTATTCTGGGGGAGGGGGACTAGAATTGGAAACCTCTACTTTTCTGACATTTTTCAATACAAGAATATCTTTGCTTGCAATTTATTTTCCACTATTAATTATTATTGTACAAATAAAATATATTACTGAAATGAGGATGGCATGAATATGGCCATGGACTGTTACAATAAAGTCACCTAAGAAACCCCCACCAATAGCTGAATTTCAACTGTGGAGACCCTGAAGAAACTATTTCTTAAAGATTATGACGTTATCTCAAGAGCTCCCTCCTCCTATTGTTCATCTTGTAAATGATCAATTTGTAGGTATAGTGCAAAATCTATCTTTTGTGGATTAACAAAAGCTTGTAGCTAGGATGCCTGTAAAACTATTTTTAAAATACAGTTGTGCTGTGTTTTGTTTTGTCTTAAGGTTTACATTGTCTTTTGTAATCTTGAGTGCAGGGTATTTGATCACCTGAAGAGGTGGAAAGCCTCAATGAAAACAAGGAGTTCTCTAACTATCCTAGGCCCGTGTTTACACTCAACAGTTACTAGGGCAACCACCAAGCAGTGGGTCACTTGGACAAATGGTTGATCTGACTGGGTTGTTAATACAAAGGAAATCATTAGACAGCAAACTTTATGACAACTGGAAAAAAGTGGGCAGATCTGGTTTAAGTCCATTAGGCATAATATGGAAATGGCCTTAATCTCTTTCTCTCCCAGCAGGAAAAGCCTAGGAATACTTCAAAGGCTTGGGAGTTACTGACCAATGCCCTCTCTATCAATTAAAAAGCAACATGGGTGATCTTAAAGCAGTCAGAGAAATGGAAGCTTGGGCTATACGAAAGATTTAGCACTTAAGGGCCATCTACAAAGCAGAAAAAGTTGCTTGTGATTTTCAAAATTTAATTATTAATTTACAAAAATGAGATTTTTAGAACAACTTTTGTTGTGTTGGTCAAACTTTTCATCCAACTTTTTTCACAGTTTGAAACAAATTTATACAAAGCCACCTCTACAGGTTTTGGTGTTCTAAACCTAATGGGACTTCTGTTCTAAATCACTCATTCGAATTTAGATATTTTTTTCCTCAGATTTTTACGCATGCCTTAGTTAGCATCAACTACTGTCTCCAGGAAAATTCTTAATGTTTGTGTGATTTTTCAGGTTAGCATGCTAATGAATTGAGAAATCATCAAAATGCAGCAGTGAAAAACGTCAAACAACCAAGAACTTAAACACTTACTTGATAAGGTCAGATGAGCTTTTTGACTAAGAATGGCTCCATGTTTGTTCATGGCCAAGCACTGATAAAATCCTTCATCAGACTGCTCTCCTCGCTTGCCTTCCACCTCACTGATGTATAAAGAGCCATTGGACAGAACCTGGATCCGCTTATTTTCAGACACTTTTGCTCCATTTTTCAACCAAGTGACCTTAATAGGAACTTCTCCATGAGCCTGGCAATCTAAAACGACTGGGTCCTTTCTTGTGACAGTTATATCCTGTGGCTCTTTGATAAAAAACAGTTCGCTAAAGCACCATACTCCTAAAAGGAAAAGGGGGGAAAGGCATACCCAGAATTATAAGTGTAAAATCATTTCTTAACACACAATTGTAAAACACATATTCAGAGTGTAATGAGACAAAGTTTAACAAACCATATTAGTTAACTTACAAACACCTTAATAAACCAATCTAAGTTTCAGCTAACCTTCTCAACAAATCAGAGAAATCTTTTTACAACATCTTATACTAAAAAGCATAGGGAAGATTTCAATAACTTTTACCCCTTTTAAGAATTCTGTCCTCAAGTACCTTGCTAGAGTTTCAAAATCATCAGGAAAACTCTTGAGCACAAGCTGTTTGCTTACTTTTACAAGCTTGTCAAAAAGATCTTGAACAGAGTAAGTCGTAAAAGTCTAATTTTACAAGAAATCATTAGCAAAATTCCGACTCTGTGAACAAGCAAGTTTATTTCCTTGTCCCTTGAAGAGTTTTTGAAACCCCTGGTACCTACTCCTTTGGGAAGTGCGTTTATCTTTTGTGACAGATGACAAGTTTGCACTTTTATATCTGCCCTTTTATAGCAAGGACTCTCGTCTCTGCTCCTTGAAAGAGACCCATTTACTTAATTTCTGCAGAGTATGGTAGGTATTTAAAAGACAAACATTTGACTTTGAAAAGTTGCTAACTCTTGCTGCTTGTACTCAGTGGGTGATCGGATTAGGAAACTTCTATTTCATTTTTTTTAGAACTACCAACTGTTGGAAAAAAATGTATGACTAATTGGTCCTTACTGTCTAACAGGGATAGGAGATTGCTTAATCAACCAATACACATTTTTATCAGAGCAGAGTAAAGGCTTTATGCTAGGCATACACATCGTCCCGGGTCCCCGTCAGGAAAAAAGCATCCGATGACCAACTAATACCCTGTCACCTCCTGCATTTAGCGCAAAGGTTAGCTTAAGTCTTGCATATTGATTGGGGCCGAGTAGAGTATGAGGGGTTTAGGGGCGGAGGGCATTTCATCCTCCTTCTGATTGTCTTGAATTCATGAGTACCAATCCCCGGGACTGATCTCTGTTTCTCATCAAGGCAGGTCCTCCAAACCTCACACACTAGTCACGCTCCCACGCCCTGGCTGCCGACTTCTCCTAATGGATGCCCAGGGCGACACGAGCGACCCTAATAGCCCGCGTAGCGAGGACCACTCCGGAAGGCGCCCATTGTGTTTCCGAGTCACATCTGACTTTGATCCTTTTCTCCTGCTAATAGAAAACTAACTCCTCCAGGAAACAAACAAACAAAACAAAAAACCCACGAAAGTCTGGGGTTTGTAACCTGTAAACAAATAAAACAACCAATTCTTAACACCTCTTCTCCCCGCGCACCCCGCATCCACTTTACAATTTTTAACTCTTTAAGAATAAAGCAACACGTCAAAAGAGAAAAATTAGTTCATCCAAGTTTGCTCAAGGCTAACCTGGAGTTTGGAGGGATCTTCAGATTCGCACATATCTCAGGCCCTGCCCCCAAATCCCTAGCTGTTAGAAATAAACCCTACTTAGATACCTTCCTTCTCAGCTTCGGGACCCTTCTCCCTCCCCTCCGGGGCACAAATGGGCCACAAAACTTCCACTCCTCTTCTCTTTCCAATTCCACCCCTCCCGTCTCCTCCTAGTTCGATCCGGATCCGGGAAAGTGGGGGCACTTAGGGGTCTGACCTGGGCGCTGAGTTCACCTATTCTCTCCCCCGCCCTAAAACGTGGGGAAGCCGCCACTGCAAACAGGGGAAGCCGCGCGGAAACGCGGCGCCCCCTGCGCCGCAAGGCTGCCACTAAGGAAACAATATAAATAAAGCCACGTGCGGCCGCGGCGGCCCCGGCTGGAGGACGGCCTGCGCGGAGCCCAGGCTGGCCCCGAAGGCGAGTACGCGGCCGGAGCGCGGACAATGGCGCGAGGAGAAAGGGGCGAGAGTGGACGGCGGGCGCCGGCCCGCAGCGCGCGGCCGGGGGAGCGCAGCGGGGAGGGGCGGGCGCTGCGAGAGGCGCCCACCGCCACCCGCGCCCCCGCAGAGCCCGCCGGTACCTCGCGCTCCAGCGGCAGCTCCCGACTAGCTGCTGGGAGGGGACAGAGACTGGGGGTCAGCGCCCCCGCGAAGGACCCGCCGCCCCCCCCCCAACACACAGACACCCGGTTGCCTCCTTCCCCTGCCCACTCGCGCTCTCTCACGCCCCACCGGCACAGAAGAAAGCGCGCCCACCTGGAACGGGGCCGAGGACCGGCAGGAGCAGGAGCGCGCCGAGCAGCATCCCTGGCGGCCGCGGCCGGGCGAGGGGTCTCAGGGAAGGCGCCATTCAGCAGGGTTGGGTGGGCATGCTCCCCGGCCGCCCCGCAGCCGCTGTCCGCCTGCCGGCTCCCTCCTCCGGGCGCTCTCCGCGCGGCGGTTGGACGCGCGCAGCCTGGGCTTCCCGCTCGGGCACCGGCGTGGCGTGGCACGGCGCGGCCGGCGGCTGGTCTCTTTGGGCGCGGCAAGGCCGGCGCACGGACACCAGCTCGCAGGAGGCGGGGGGCCCGAGCGTCCGGCCCGGGGGCGGAGTGAGGCGGCGGCTGGAGAGGGCGGGGGCGGTGGAGTGGACAGCGCCGCCGCTGCCGGCCTCGGGACTACTTTCTACATCTGGCCCCTGGTCTGGGGACCGCGAGGTCGGCGCGGCCGCGGAGGGAGACGCTGGGAGGGGGCCCAGTGGCGGCCGGGTCGCGGCCCCGGGGGGAGGGGGCGGGCCCCGCCGGACAATGCACCTGGGGGTCAAGCCCCGGCTGAGGGTCTCCGGCCCGCTTCCCCACCCCCTCTGGCTCCCCTCCCCCCCCCCGCCGTCGAGGACAGAGCCACAAAGGCCGAGCCTCCTGGCCCGGCCTGGCCTGCCCCCGGACCCCTCTTCCCCCCCCTCCACCCCGCCCCAGACCACTCCCCTCCACCCCCGGGCCTGTTTAGGATTCGGGGAAGGAGGAGGCGGGGTGAGGGAGGGATAGTGTTGAGAGACGTGAAAAGGCCGGAGACTTCTCCCCTGATGGCCCCTGCCCATCCCCCTCCTTCGCTCACACGCCGAGGCCCTGTGGAGGGAAAACTATTTCCCACTTCGGAGATTTGTCAGCTACACTGGAGGCATCTCCGGGAGATAAGCCCCGACATTTGGAGACGGTTTCTGTCCTCCCTGCCCCCGTGAGATGCAGCCCTGGCTTAAAAACATCTCTGAAGAGTGCCCTGAAATGAACAATTACCGTTTGGGGAGACGTTTTGTTATCTCTTTCTCAACCTAAAGTTCTTTAATTCGTGAGAGCTGTGCACATAAAAGGCCCTGTGCTGAGAGTTGAGGCCAGATGAGATTTCTAGGTTCTCCGAGCTGGGTCTAGGGGACTAGGCGTTGATACTACCTGGTTAGAAGTTAAACTGACTAGGAAAGACACAAATGTGAATTTGTTCACATCTCTTAAAATTAATTAAGGATAACAAGAGGGGTTAAAAGGTACATTAAAAATGTAATCAGACTGCTAAACATGTGTGGATCATGGAGAACATTTACATGTGGATTAGCGTTTCCTAACCCAAAACTAAATCTATGGCCATGATGAGGGCACAGGCTAAAAGCTAACCTTCATGAAAGCAGCTGACAGAAATCTAGCTTTTGTCACTAGGACATCAACACACTCGCTGCCTTTAGCATGTTCCAAAAATCCTCCTTATGAGAAAAAAAAAAAAAAAAAAGGAGGAGGAATCAACAGTTTTAGTACATCTGCTGGGAGTAACCTTCCCCGGAAGCTTACTATAATAGGGATCAGTCTACTTAACAATTTCAACTTAACTGCATGTAATACCCTGGGCTCTATTGCTTCCAAAAGCTGACTTATAATTAACATGAATTTCAAGTATTTCTAAGCAGCGGAGTAAAGGTTCATGGAAAGGAGAAATGTTTAGAGGTAATAAAACATTTGCAGGGATGTTTTAAAAATCTGATAAATCAGAAATACACAAAGTGATATTCTTAACTGTGTGCCTACTAAACTAGATTTTTTTTATTGTATGACAGTCTTCTCCCTCTTAACTCCCCCTTCTCCCAGTTCCCTTTCAATTGATCCTAAGTGCTTATATTTCCTGGATAAGAATTGCTAATAAGATGCTTTTATGCTCTCCTTTTTGAGTAAATCAGAAGAATAAAGGCTGGGGGGGGGAGAGATAAGCTAAAAAGCAAGGGAAGAACTTCTTTTAAACTGCCACTTTGCCTTTTCTTTAACATTTCAATTAATCATAGGAGCCTTTGATTCTTTTAAGATGGCTTTGGACCTTGACTTGTATTGGGGAAGAACATAGCATTGCATCTAATGTGAAAATAATATAATATATATGATATATATGATACATATATATAGTGTGATGAGACTAAACTTTTCTGATATATTTACTGTCCCATGTTGGGCAGCAATAAACTTCCCCTGATGATGTAGTTATACCATATTATATAAAATTTACAGTATACCCTAGGTCACTTATTAGTAAGTAGTAACTAGAAACCAGAATCCATGGCTTCTGATTTGTTGCCCTTTCCACTGTATAATACTTTATGTCTTTAAATTTAAACTTCTTTATTTCTTTCCTTTTTTCCTTCTTTCTCCTTCCTTCCTTCTTTCCATCCTTCCTCTCTTCCTCTCCCCCTCCATCCCTCCCTCCCTTCCCTCCTATTCCTGTCGGCTTCAGAATTTATAGCATACTTCTTTAAATAACACAGTACATGTCTTCTTGGACAGTTACACTTTCTTTCATGTATAATACTTGTCTTATGTCAGGTAGTAGGCTGCATAAGCTACCTAAGGACTTGTTACCTAGTTCTCCAATGCCCCACAGATTCCACTGCAGTGCCTTGCGTATAGTAAGTAACACTGCAATGGCTAAGAGCACAGTTTTTTTGTTGTTGTTGTTGTTTTTTAAACTTGTACCTTTTAAGTCTCTTTTATTTATTTTTGCTGTGTTGGGTCTCTGTTTCTGTGTGAGGGCTTTCTCTAGTTGCGGCAAGCGGGGGCCACTCTTCATCGCGGTGCGCAGGCCTCTCACTGTCGCGGCCTCTCGTTGCAGAGCACAAGCTCCAGACGCGCAGGCTCAGTAGTTGTGGCTCACAGGCCTAGTTGCTCCGCGGCACGTGGGATCTTCCCGGACCAGGGCTCGAACCCGTGTCCCCTGCATTGGCAGGCCGATTCTCAACCACTGCACCACCAGGGAAGCCCAAGAGCATAGTTTTGAGTGTCTGACAGACTAGAGTTCCAATTTCAGTCTTATGTAGACAAGTTAGTTATGCTCTCAAACCTCATCTGTTTAATGGGAATAGGTATAATACCAATGGGGCACTGTGATAGAATGCATGGAAAGTACCTGGTGCATAGCTCTATAAATAATTGCTATTATTATTTTGTGAGTAAATATTCCCGCTAGTGCCAAATCTGTGTCCTTTTAGAGTGGGTTTAATTTTGCAATACTCAGGTTTTTAAGAGTCAAATCTGATTAATTTTTTTGGTGATTACACTGATGGTGACAATAATGACTTACTGGAATAGTTCCTAAGCTGGTCCTGAAAGAGGTAAGAAAAGCCTAGGTGTTTAACCTCCCAAAGTTACCCCCTTGAAGGAAAAAATCTCATTGATATAAACAACTACCTAAGCCCTATTTTGCTTAGGGCTATTCTATATTCTAAAACAAGGACAATTATGTTCAAGCCAAAAAGGGTAGAGCCTATATAGTTAAAAGAGAGCTGAAATCTGATGATGGTAGGTTAAAAAAAGAAAAAAAAAAGGAATCAGTTTTCTCTAAATAAATTCAAGACTCCTAGCCTTCGGAGGGAAAAATGACATAACTTCTCCCACCAAATTATGGAGCTGTACAAAATGATCTTACAGCCCTCTGGCCTCTAAACATTATCTGGTTCTATGGAATCATAGGACCATTTGTATATGCTTATGAAGCATAGAGAATGAGAAAACGCAGCAAAAGTCTGAGTTGTTCAATTTTATTTTTCTGGAGTTGAGCTCCTACTATGTTGGTTAGGTGGCCAGGCCCTGGATGAGGATCACATGCTATGATCTTCATGTGATTTAAGAAATCACTCACTAGGGACTTCCCTGGTGGTGGGCTCAGTGGTTAAGAATCCACCTGCCAATGTAGGGGACAAGGGTTCGAGCCCTGGTCCAGGAAGATCCCACATGCTGTGGAGCAGCTAGGCCCGTGTGCCACAACTACTGAAGTCCACGCACCTAGAGCCCGTGCTCCGCAACAAGAGAAACCACCGCAATGAGAAGCCCGCACACCGCAACAAAGAGTAGCCCCTGCTCACCGCAACTAGAGAAAGCCCGCAAGCAGCAACAAAGACCCGATGCAGCCAAAAATAAATAAAATAATTAATTAATTAAAACAAGAAAAGAAATCACTCACTGATGAGCTTAATATTTGCCATCAGAAACATTCTGAAATGGATTATTTTAAAAGTGGTGGTAACTCTTCATGGGACTGAAAAATGGTGTGGCTGCTATGGAAAACAGTGTGGCGGTTCCTCAAAAAATTAAAACAGAACTACAATACGATCCAGCAATCCCACTCTAGGTATACATCTAAAATAATTGAAAATAGGATCTTGAAGAGATATTTGCACACCCATGTTCATTGCAACATTATTCATATAGCCAAGATGTGGAAGCAATCTAAATGTTCATCAATGGATGAATGGATAAAGGAAAAAATATATATGTATCACAACACGTATGATGAAATATTATTCAGCCCTAAAAAAGAATGAAGTCCTGTCATATTCCAGAACATGGATGAACCTGGAGGGAGTTATGCTAAGTGAAGTTAATTCAATTGCTAAAAGATAAATAATGCATGATTCCACTAATATGAGGTATCTAAGGTAATCAAATTCATAGAAACAGAAAATAGAATGGTGGTTGCCAGGGGCTGGAGGGAGGAGAAAATGGGGAGTTGAGGTTCCATGATTATGGAGTTTGTTACACAATGTGAAAAAGTTCTAGAAATCTGTTGTACAATAATGTGCATATAGTTAATACTGTATTGCACACTTAAAACTGTCAAGTAAATTCACATTGTGTGTTCTCTTTTTTTTTAACCACAGTTTTTAAAAAGCAGGTTGTAAATGTATAGTAAAGGCAGTGATGATAACAACAAAGCAGAAGCCCATGTTTGCTAAGAATATATAGAGCATATATATATTCTACATTTATTACTATTGGCTTGGTTAAAAAATGCAGTGGACACATTTATCTTAATTTGCATGTAACACGATGCATAACTAATATGTTGCATGATAGAATTTTTTTCCAGTCCTGGTAGTTGTTCTGGAAGGTGGAAATTCAGAAGAGAGGTCCTGGGGGACTCTTCAAGTGAGGATTTGTTACTAGTACACAATTTACAAGGAAACTGAAGAGAGTCGGGAAAGGGGAGCCAGAAGTAACTCATCGGCCACCAGAACTGAATGGGCCATTCCAGGGCAGGAAGAAGGAGGTGATCAAGTGTTTGCAGCAGAAGCGAACACAGGACATTTAGAACTGAGGCCATGAGCACTGGGCAACCCCTTGGATACACACCAACAATGGGAAGAGTCCTGAGGAACTGCTGAGAGCTAGCCAAGCCACATTCATTCACTCAGCAAAGTACTGAGCATCCAGTGTGTTATAGACAGTGATAGATATTGCAGATACAGTTATCAGAAAATGACACAGATACTGAATTTTGTGATAAGTCTGCAATGTTCATGATAATTTGAGAATGGAATTTAAGGAGCAATTCACACTCCTACAGAGGAATGAAATGGGAAGGGAGGGAGCATGCTACCAAGAAGTATGAAGGGTCTCAGATTTTACCCTGCTTGCAAGCTAACAAATTTTCCTGCCACCATTTCGTGGATGCTGGTGGAAGACACAACACTCCTGTGTCAGAGATGAAGGGCAGTATATTACACATAGCAATAACAGTAGCCAGAATACCAGCAATTTTGCATCAGTTCCCTAAGCCTCAAATTCCACAGAG